TAGACTTGACAATGCTCATTTTAGAGAATGTTCGTTCAGCAGATGCAGAAGTAACAGGAATTGTGGCCAGTCCTGTGAAGACGCTTGAGAGGCAAGGGCAAATTGTTTTATTTTTTTGCTAGCCAATCAACAGGGGGGGCCATGGCCCCCTTGTGCCCCCCCTTAGCTACGCCAGTGTGCATATCTGCGTCTAACAAAGATGTCACTACGCACGACTGAAATGTTACGTATCTAACCGTAGCAACAGACCTCAGATGAGCCCAGTCGCTCTGCGGCTCTTGCTTTATTATATCAAACACCTTTCAGAAAAATAATGCGCCCAAAGTTTTGGAATGTGTAATAATATAAGTGTGATGAAGTGCAACTTGGATAATTAGTTAGCTTACACTATTACAAAACATTGGTTCCATAAACCACCATGTTTGTACATGTGGCATGTCTAAAGTCAGAGTTCATCAAGCTCGTGTTTATTGAAGTAAAGATGTGAAATTGTAAATTTAACATGAATTTCTCATACATTTGCCAATAAAGGTAAACACCAAAATGTCAGAGAAAGTAGGAAAAGAAGTGGTTAAAAATGGCAGAAAAGAATATCGAAAGCAGATGGCAGTGTGTGATGGTTCTCTACAAAAAGACTTTAACTTCAATCCACCTCCTGTAAGTAGTATTAGTTATGGTATAATCATTGATGAAGTTTTTGTTTCAAAATTCCAGCCAGCTAAGAAGTAGCTAGTTGTATTTCTTACAGTTAAATTCAATATTTATGTAGAACTGCACAATGAACCGATGAATAATGAAGAAGTCAATGTACATCAAATTGGCTGCAATTAAACATGGAGTGTGATTTTTTAGTGTATAGTACATGCCATCTTGGAATGTTTGAACAACAAAAAATTATGAGCAGCAAATATTATGAATGATAGCGTTGAGATAAATATTTGGGACAAATAAATATTGGCAGTGCTTTCCTGGTTTGTTTATTATTTGTAGCAATACAGACTCTTCAATCACCACTCGTATAAAATATAATATACTAACACTAGTCTCTTTTAAATGATTCCATTGTTTATATTGTGTTATAGAATCTCGTCTTTTATGGTGAAGGACGTTAGTGAAATGTGTTCATTTTTCAATGACTTTAGCTAATCAAGGTTGTTGGATGGGGCATTACATTGGCGTACTGGCACTGGTCTGGATTACTGGATTTAATTAAGGATGACTTATCGAGCAAGTTGCAGGCATGGAACAAGAAAGAGATGACTGGTGCCACAGTGATGCCACAGCTCTTAATGCTCTACTCACAGAGCTGTCGATTATCGGAAAAGACCGCTTGGCAAATGACAACGCTGTTAGAGTCGGACACTGAAAACAAGACTGTTCTCATAACAGAGAAGAACATGTGCGGTGTACGGCAGAAAAAGTATTTTGTTTCTCTTAATAAACGTAAGTGTAGTTGCAAAGACTACTACATTCCTTGTGACTATCCCACCTGTTTGAGAGGGTTACAGCTTATAAACAACGATCATGAGCTGAGAAACAATGAGCTGTATTTGTTTCATATCACGCTGCAGCAAATCCTATCCAAGAGGGTTTCCCAAGTAAAATGTCCCTTTGTACTAGTTCCATTTGATGACAAGAAACCAAATGCTGTAGATGCTATAGTGAAGGAAGTGACTAAGCTATGGCGAGAAGACAAAATACTGGAGGTTGGAGAACCGGAGTGGCTGAAAATGTCTGCTTCACTGCATGGTAAAGAGTTAACATTTCAAAGTTGGATGCCTATAGGCATTTTGCTTGCGCAGCGATGGGCAGACCTGTATTTCAGAAATTATGGCCCAGAGTTGAGGAAAACTGTCACAAACTTCCTTAGCACGCGGCACAAGGCTAAGGTCCTTCTTGACGATGATGATGACGATGATGATGATAATAGTGGTTACAATATTTATGAAACTAGTTACTCTGAAAGGGTTTACCAAGGCGATGGTGATACAAAAATTGACGCTAGTAAAATGGACTGGCAGGCAAGCAGTACCGATTCTTTTCCGGTAAGAAAACTCCTAGTGCTGTTGCCCAGGACGTGCAAAACGTTCGATTGTGTATCTGACGATGAGAAATCAGTTGTAGCTGAGAAAGACATGGATCACTTTCCTGATAGCACAAAAGGCATAGGTGAACGGCTAGTAGGGAAAAGCACAGTTTACAAGCTAGAAAGTAAATTTTTCCTTGCAGAGTACGCAACCCCACTGCGTTGCCTGCGCCTCATGATGGAGGATGGTATAATTACAAAGGAGTTAATGTATGATTTCTATGGCCAGTTTTGTAGCCACTTAGAATTATGGTTGCAAAGATATCGATCATTAAAAGACAGTTTCATCCTTGTGCGGTATGATGATACAGGTAGGAACCAAGCACTGCTGGATGCTTTAAGGGAGCATCTAACGCAACGTCAACAATAGTTCCTCATTACAGGGACATGTTGATGGTCTTCAATCGTATTACTGACCTGAGGGGTATTATATCGCAGTAGTGTCGCTGGTATTCAGCAATATTGATATCTCATAAATATCTCCAGAAGTACATTGAAGTGCCTTCCGTTAATAATTTGAATATTGGATAAGCAAATAGGTACAATGCGAGTATATATATAAATCGTATATATAATCAAACGTGGATTTAGTTGGTTGACTGCTGTATTTAAATTGCACGGTAGATGGAGCTTAATTTTAACATCAGGCCCGTAGCCAGCTTTATATTGGGGGGAAAGGGTTCGTTTTTCAATGTTGGCAATTTGCTCGGCAGGGGCGTGTACAGGATTAGTACCAGGGGTGGGTCTAACCGTAACCCAAAGTTGCTAGCATGGGAAGGGGGGTTCTGGCGCCCCCCCATAATTTTTTTTAAATT